AAACACCTTCAATTTCTACACACTTTGGCTAAAACAGAACCTGCATTTGATCAGAAAATAAATTTAGATAAAAGGGAAAACATAAGTAGTGTCTTATATTCTCCACACTTTGACAAGTAATTTGAAGAACTTCAGAGAACTCCAGTCAACTAATTAAAATATGAAAAATAAAACCAATGTGGATGCAGCAAAAGTCAATTCAAGTTAATCTGAGTGCACCAACTTATCAACTTTAAAATCATTTCAAGGACTTCACATAATGAAATCAACCAAGAACAACATCAAAGATTTAAGATTCGTTCCGAATAACCACATCTTGAACAATCATGGAAAATGACAAAATATATGTATATATATTATATGCAAGCATGTACGAATACATTAAAACTTATGCATAGAACACAAAAGAAATAGCAAGTTGAATTAGTCCAACTATACTCCACTCTACATTCAATCACACAAAACTCGTATCAAACGATCAAAATTGAAACAGAACCACACAATTTTCAACAAAACAAAAGAATCAGATTCAAATTACCATAAAGCAGTTCCAAGGCCACTCGGTCCCATCCTCTCTGGTAATCTTGGGCCTCGAAATGCCCCAATAGCTCGAAACCATAACTTCACCGTCCCCTTTCTTCTCCTCCGCCACCGCACTCTCCTTCCGATCCTTCTCCGCCACCGCCGTCGTCGTCTCCGCATCCGTGCTCATATTCCTCCTCCACTGTGCACCGCCGCCATTGAATCCCCAGCACTGGCTCCGCCACAGAACCACCGCCTCATCAAGCGGTGTCACAACAACCGCCACCGCTGACGGCGGCGTCGACAAGTACCGGTTACAGCTTCGGCCGCCGCCGATCATCCGTCGCAACACAGCCCTCGCAACCAACTGATTCATCTTCGAGTTGAATGTTTGTATCGGCGGTTTCGAGTCGAGTGAAACGTACTCTGTGAAAAACAGTTATGAAACGAGAAGAGAAAAGACAGGCAGACAGATAGACAGGGATGACTGGGTGAGTATGATTCGGTGTATCGCGACCTCTTTGATTCTTGTTCTAACACTACTTCCAATAATGATAGGTGACTCGAAAAATCATAACTCGAATGGGTTCGAAATATCTAAAATGACATCATTTTGAATATAAAATAACGTCGTGTTGACATATTCGAACCACAAAAATTTGAACCGCAAAACATTTTCCAATTACTTTTAGCATTTTCTAAGCATTGGCTTTTTTGCATATGATTATTATTTTCATATTAGATGTTACAACTTAATCCAACAAATTATAATCATGAATAATAATTTTTAAAATGAGAGAGAAATCCAATACCAAAAAAAAATAAAATAAAATATAAGTGAGGTGGTGTTTGGGAAGTGGGTTTTGTGGTTTTTTTAGCTAAAATAATCAATACAAACAAAATAGGTTAAAATAAACAAAGGGGTGTTTTGGGAAGTTGAGACACATTCGAGCCACAAAAATTCGAACCACCAAACATTTTTCAATTACTTTTAGCATTTTCTAAGCATTGGCTTTTTTGCATATGATTATTATTTTCATATTTGATGTTACAACTTAATCCAACAAATTATAATCATGAATAATAATTTTTAAAATGAGAGAGAAATCCAATACCAAAAAAAATAAAAATAAAATATAACTGAGGTGGTGTTTGAGAAGTGGGTTTTGTGGTTTTTTTAGCTAAAATAATCAATACAAACAAAATAGGTTAAAATAAACAAAGGGGTGTTTTGGGAAGTTGATAAAAAGTTGACTTTTGACTTTTTACTAAGTTTTTTGACTTTTTTAGAAAGTGATTTGAGAAGGTAGTAAAAAGTTGATTTTTGACTTTTTGGATTAATATTTGTTTATGACATCAAATCAAAATAAAATGACCAAAATACCCTTGCCAAACTTTAGAATTTTAGGTAATTTGTTAACATGGAGGGTATTTACGTAATTTTACACGGCAGTGTTTTTGTCACATCCCAAATGCAACAATTGCGTTTTCGGCTGCCCAGCTTTTTTTTTATGTCAACAAAACGCTTGCATTTTTGTGCTTTTCCCATAACGGCACAAAATATTATATCACTTTTTTCTTTTATAACTATCAAATCAACTATTAAAAAAAATAGCTATCTTTCAAAATATTACTTTTTTAGCCAGCTTAAAATAACTAAAAAATTAAAAAAATTAACTAAAATAACTAAATTTCCAAAACAACTGAGTAAATTCGAATTATTGATGTCCTAATGAGATACATGAATTTTAATCAAGTTATCGAGCGTGTAATGGGATTATAAAATGAATTAATGCTTTCAACTTATAGTGCTCATTAAAAATTTGTCAAAATTGACTCATTATGCAAATAAATTAAATTTAAATACATTTTAAAATTTGTTAAGTTGTTATATCAAAGTCATATCATGCTTGGTATAATTAATTTTTGCTTTTGAAAATGAGTTAGAATATTTTGTGTAATTTTTAATTATAGCTTATGATGTAAGTTAAACAAGGCCTCGTTTGGTAGAGTTGTGGGAAAATGATTATAACTTATAATCTCATAGCCTATAACTTATAACTATGAACATAAGCTGATTTTTAACTTATAAATTAAGCTTCTCCTTCCTCACTCAAAGAATAAGTTGATTTTTGACTTACAAAAAGCTATAAGCTGTATTGTTAAGCTAAACCAAACACAATAAAATAACTTAAATTAAGTTAAAAGTTGAAATAAGTTAAAAATAAATCCTACCAAAAAGGGCCGAAGTTAAAAAGTTGACTTGGTGGAGAAAGGTTACTAATTTCTACATTCTAATTACTAACTTTTTAATTTTTCTTAAAAAAAATTATATCAAACACACATGTCAAACACACATGCTCAAGCTGCTACTTAACTTAGGGTTTGTTTAGGGTGTTATAAATAAGTGTATTTTTTGTGTTTTTAGATTAAAAAGTTGAGGAAAAAAATATGAATTTTTGAATTAATTTTTTGATTTTTTATGAAAAAATATGTATTAAAAAATTGTATAAATAAATATATAAGGGAATAAAATGATGGAATAGGCCGTACGGTTGGAAGCCTAAAGGGCAGTGTGGCAGAGGGCAGTGTAGGAGATTGATTCTCTACTTTTCGGGCATAAATTGGTCGGTTCTGTTCGGCCCATGGGGGCCCACCACGAGTCCCGTTTTACTAATCGGAACCGTTTAATGTGTAGAACTCGTCCAGTACTATATGTTTGTTAAAAATTACGTTGATTGAATATTGATAACTATCTGATCGTGTTAGTTTTTTTTTGTTAACTGTTAACTATAATACCATCTATTTTTATACAAAACTGATTTGATCATGTATTTAGCGATATCCGATAGACGTGATTTTTTACAGGAATATAGTACTAGACGAGTTTTACTTATTGACGGTTTAGATTATCAAAACGGGACCCATGGTAGTCCCCCACAGGCCCAGCTATACCATCCAATTTAGTTAATATTTTATTATAATTTTTTTTTCCCCCGATCACTGGCTTCACCATCTGGTCAGTACCAATCCATGGGTTTATTTTTTTATTTGTATTAATATGTGTATACTATTTTTTTAATATATATATTTTTTTGTGAATAGTGTTAATTTTTTAACTTTTTAAGTTAGTTTTTATCTTTTTAGATTTTTCAAGAGTTGTCAAGCTTAACCTTAATAAACTCATATGCATTATAAAAATAAGCCATTTGAACTTGAGTTTATCAAAAGTTATTTAGCCTCCGTTTGGGAAGTGAGTTGGCTTTTTGACTTTTTTAGCCTGGCTTAAAAAGTTTGGTTTGGGAAGAGCTTTTTGACTATCTTTTTAGATTTTTCAAGAGTTGCCAAACTTAGTCTTAATAAACTCATATGCATTATAAAAATAAGCCATTTGAACTTGAGTTTATCAAAAGTTATTTAGCCTCCGTTTGGGAAGTGAGTTGGCTTTTTGACTTTTTTAGCCTGGCTTAAAAAGTTTGGTTTGGGAAGAGCTTTTTGACTCTTTAGTTTTTTTGACTTTTTTTATGAGAGAAGAATGTAATGATTAGGAGTTAGATATAATATTTTGTTTTTTGTGGCTAAAATAGCCTATTTTGTCTTTTGTAAAATAGCCAAAAAAGTTCCGTTTAACTCTTGCCAAACGGAGCCTTAAGAATCACTCAAAAAGCAAAAAATAAATAACTTTAAATACATTTTAATTAAAATTTGTTAAAATTTTCGAATCAATGTTTGTTATACAACTTGCAACTTTTATTAGTTTCAATTTACAATCTCTGACGATGCCTTTTTGACGGTGGAGATGATGCGAAGGTTGGTTAATACGGTGGGTTGTGAAGTAGAGGAAACGATTTTTTTGTGCATGGATTGTAGATGGAGATGAAGTGTCACGGTTGGCTTGATCTGACCGCCATTGTGAAATGACTGTTTTAGCCAAATAAATTACATATAATCATGCCTTACTTTTTCTCCAAGTTGACGGGAAATGCAACGGTGTAGTGCAGTGCACGGCACGGCTGCTAAAGTACGTTTCCTCATAACGTGGCTCCTTCTTTACATTACACGTGGCCCAAAACCAAATGGTGTTTGATTTTGATTTTCTGAATTCATTTTTTAAAAAATTAAGCTTGTTTGGTTTGTTTTTCAGAAAAATTTTCGGAAAAAATTCTCTAGAAACAAATTTTTAAGTGTAATTAAACCAAACAAATTTTTTCAAAAAAAATCTCAAAATTTTGTTTGGTTACTTACTTTCTAAAATCACTCTCTCTGTCATACACATCACATCAATCACTTTTTTTAAAACTCTCTCCTCAAAATAATTTTCTAAAACCATTTCTGAAAAAAAGACAAACCAAATAAGTTTTCGTACTTTTTATCTCAAAAACTACTCTACAAACACAAACTAAACACATTTTGAATTTTTTTGTTTTTTGTATTGTTTTGTTTTTAGCAAATATTTTTAAAACTATAAGCAATTTTTTTTTATTTTTTTAAATATACCTTAGGTATCTAAATAATAAAATATTTTTCAAAAAATATTTAAAAAAATTAATAAATACATAAAATTACGAAAAATATACTGAATCTTAATAATTTTTTTTTTATATTTTTTTGGTATTTAATGTTGTGGGAGCCGGATTTTAGAGTAATCAAAAGCGTACTCTAGAAGACAGACTTTATACGGCTCTACCCTGCACGATAAGGATGCCGAATATAATAGATAGACCGAATAGATACTGAGCTATGGAGCCGAGTAAAAAAGAGGATAATGAGTGACAAGTGGGTCTGACCACGAGGCCCAGGAAACAAGTATAAATAAAGGAACAACAGACTAAGAAAGGCGAGTGAGAATTATTGTGCTTAACTTAGAATACAAGCATTCTTAAGTGCGGATTCTGACTTGTCCGTCCGAGTGTTAATTCCGGCACCCCCGACTGGAATGTTTATTCTTTTTCAGGTGACCAGGAGAGGATCACGAGCGTTCTCCAGGATCGATAGAGTATTTCTAAACCATTTCTCCACAATTGGCGCCGTTTGTGGGAATACTCAAGCACATCCATGGCAAGCGTGACGGAAAATCCTCTGACAGTCACTGTCGACCCTATACCGCAAGATGAAACCACTCAAACAAACTTGCTTAGAACAGAGACTATCGCCGCAAGACGTGCCTTGAATTTCGCCTCACCCTCGACTGCGGAGCACGAAACAATGCAGGCGATCATGGAACAAGCAAAGCAAAATAAACAGAGGTTGGAGAACATAATCGCTGAAAACGAACGACTTCGAGAAGATTTGGCCTTGGAAATGGCGAAGTCCAAGCAAGTTGCGCGCCTAAATCCGGAACGATCTCCGAAGGCAGGTGGGCGACAACCTTGAGCACGACAAGACACTGATAGCGACTCCGACTCATTATTCTCGGAGCCCAGGAAGAAGGGACGACATGAAACCACCAGCTCTTTCGAAGAAGGTCCCCGTACAATGCACAAGCGAAGA